TGATGGGCCCCAAGCTGCTGGCGGAGACCGCGGACATGATTGGCGTCCGGGAGCTGCGGGACGCCTTCCGAGAGGTGTGGCCTGGGCTCAGGGCGGCGGGTGGGGCCTGCGTGTGCGTGTGTGTGCGCGTATTTTTGTGTGTGCGTGTCCGTGCATGTGTGTGCATGTGTGTGCGCGTGTGCGCGTGTGCTGAGTGAGGGCTGAGCGATGGCGGTCCCTCGGGGACCCACGCCGTGGCCGCGCCGCAGTTTGACACCAACAGGGACGGCTGCATCAGCCTGGCGGAGCTCCGGGCGGCCCTCAGGGTCCTGCTGGGGGAGCGCCTCACGCAGCGGGAGGTGGACGAGATCCTGCAGGACATGGACCTCAACGGGGACGGCCTGATCGACTTCGAAGGTACCGCCCGCCACGCCCCCGGGCTTCTGGCAGCGATGGGGCAGGGCCTCGGCTGCGCCAGGCGGGGCTGGGCCCGAACCCTCCCGCTACTGCGCCCCCAGCGCCGGCAGGAGGCGCTGTCTCCGGGAGCGGGAGGAGCCAGTGGGTCAGGCCTTAGGAAAGGGCCCAGGCGCGGCCACAGGAGGCAGACGCAGCCACGATCTGGCCCAGGCAGCCCGATCCAGACCCCGCTCCTCCTCCACTGCGCCCCCCAGAGGGAGCACAGGACCACATCGCCCCGGGAGGTCACTCCTGAGCTTCCTAGCAGCCGAAGCAGAGAGAACACAGTTGAGTCACAAAGTGCTTTCTGCCCACGAGACAAAGCCCTCTTCTTGGCCTGGAGACAGGCCTGTGACCTGTCAGATCCCGGAGGCGCACGTGACCACACGCCTCACACCTCCCGGCCAGCACATCGGCCGCCCCCAGCGGGACCCACACCCTGGCTTTGTCCGCAGAGTTTGTGCGGATGATGTCTCGCTGAGCCTGCACGGGAGCCGGAGGCAGCGGAGGGGACGTGAGGCCACAGCCACTGCTCACAGTGTCCCTGGAAGCCCGTCGCCTCCAGCTGGGACCCTCTGCCCCCCCCCACCTGTGTGCAGCGCCCTGCCCGCCCTCACCCCCCCGCCCCTCCGCCAGGCCCCCCTCTGTACCCCTGACAATAAAGGACCTTCAGACCTGGGAGGTGGCTTTCCCTCTCACGTCCTCAGCCCGGGGGACCCAGGGTTTGGCCCCAGAGGCTCAGTGCTGGGTGACAGCCCCTGGACTGTGAGCTCTGGGGGAGCAGGGGCCCACAGTGTCCGGAAAGGCCTGAACCAGTAAACCCAGCCTGCTCCCCCAGAGCGGGGACCGTAGGGCCCTCACCCCCTGAATGGCCCTGCCACACCCGGGTTGCTCTAGGTCAGTGGTTCTCGCACTTCCTGACGCCCCGACCCTTTCACACAGCTCCTCAGGGCGAGGTGACCCCCAACCATGAAATCACTTTCGTTGCTACTTCATAGCTGTCATGTTGCTACTGTTAATGAATCGCCATGTAAACATCTGTTTTTTTCCAATGGTCTCAACAGCAGCGGTTCTCAACCTGTGGGTCGCCTAAGACCATCGGGAAACACAGATATTTACGTGACGATTCATTAACAGTAGCAACATGACAGCTATGAAGTAGCAGCGAGAGTAGCTGTGTGGCTGGGGTCGCACGCCCTGAGGAGCTGTGTGAAAGGGCCGCGGCCTCAGGAAGGTGGAGAACCGCTGCCCGGACGGTGGAGCAGACGCCGGAGGGCTTTTCCCAGGACCCGGCCGGTCCCTCTGGGAGGGTGCCGCTCGGAGCCTCCCAGAGGGACTGGAGCGCCTCCAGCTTTTCCTCCCTCCCGGCCCCGGCCGGGAAGAGGCCGCGCTGCTGGCTGCGGCTGCGGGTCCCTTTCCTCGCTCTCTGCGGAGCCCGGCCCCCGGCCCAGCGCGGCGGGCGCCGGGCACCCACGTTCCTGCCCGGCTCCAGGTTCCTCTCCGCGTCTCTGCCTCCCGCCCCGCTGGCCTCCGCTGGGGCTGGCGGGCTGGTCTCAGCCGAGGCCCTCCCTCCGGCAATCTCGCTACCTGCCTCCTGGGGGCCCGGATGACACGCCTGTCCCCCCCCCCCCCCCTGGTGTCCTCACGCCCCAGTTCCCAGACGGAGGAGGCCGAGAGGCACTGACCTCACACAGCACTGACCTCTCTCCCCGGGCCAGGCAGTGCGTGCTGCCTGCCGGTCATTCTTCCTAAAATATCTCCTGCCTTTGGCGGCGCTCCTGTTCAGGGACTGGCCGTGGCCCCCCAGGGCCCTCAGAGGCACCCGCCCCTTGCCTGCCCCCGGAAGTCTCCGGGAGGACAAGGGACCAGCATCGTCCCGTTCGGTCAGGATGAAGGGGAGGTGGGGCTTGCACTCCGGCCTGGAGACTCTCACATCCCAGCGCCAGCAAGAGGACGCCTGAGGGCCAGGGGGCCCCGGACAGGCCTCAGCCTCCTCCGGCTACAGCACAGGCCGGGTCTGCCGAGCTCGGCTGACCGGGAGGAAGACGGACCTGACCGTCAGCCCCGCACCTGTTCCTTGTCATCACTGCGGCCAGCACGACGGCCCCGGGACCACGGAGCAGGCGGCCAGCCCCCGCGCCCCGCCCGCCCACAGCCTGCTCGCCGAGGTGCCAGGGCTGGCTGCAGCAGCTCAGCATGGCTGTCCTGGAAGATCCCAATTAATCCTAATCCCCATTAGGCACCTCTCCTGCCGGCCAGGCTGGCGGCCAGGGCGGAGGACTTGCCCCAGGCCCGAGGCTTCCCTGGGAGCCATGGCCCGTCCTCCCCTCACCCTCCCCAGGGGGCGCCCCGGCATTGCTTCCTGGGATGTCTGTCCTCTTCGCAGGGGCTGAGCGTGCATGCCAGGGCAAGACTGGGACCCCTGCAGCCTGTGCCTCCCTCCGCCCTGCGGCCCCGCCTGGGGCTCTGTGGTGTGGGCTGAGGGAGCGGCTGGGATGGAGCATCCGCAGCGGATATGCGGGCACAGAAGCGCCCACAGCCCCTCCACTTCTCACACAGGCCCTCTCGCCTCACGATTTATTTAAGCCTATTTAAATAAAGTGTGCGCACCGCACACATTCAGGGAGGCGTATGAACCTGGGCACAGCGCAGTGACTGTCTCCGTGTCTGCAGCCAGGTAGCCACCCTCCTCTCAGAGCTCATTTTAGAGCAGCTCTCGGATTACAGAATGATTCCGGAGACAGCCAGGGAGTTCCCACAGACCCCAAACCCCGCTTCTCCAGAGACACAGAACCAGCAGGCGATGCGTGTGTGTATGGAACAGATACTTATTATGAGCAGTTGGCTCAGGCTATGATGGGGCTGAGCGGTCCCCAAACCTGCAGGCGCACGCTGGAGGCCCAGGAGAGCCGGTGCTGCGGCTCCCGCCTAAGGCCAGGCCTGAGGCCCAGGGAGGGCGCCGGCGTGGGCTCTGGTCTGAGGCCCGGAGAGCCTGACGCCCCAGCCCCGAGGCAGGCGGGGGCCATTCCCTCTTGCGCAGCCTTTCTGTTCTATACACCCTCCACGGAGACGAGGCCCACCGCATGGGGAGGGCGACCCGCCTGACGGAGCCCGCTGCCAGCAGACTCATCCCTCCCAGCTACACCCTCTCACGCTCCCGGCATCACGGTGGCCTCAGGTCTGGGACCCCAGGATGCTGTCGAGCTGACACATAAATTAACCGTCACACTATTGTTAACATTGTACGCTGGGACGGCACATTTGTCACATTACTGATACGTTACTGCGGACCGAAGTCCGCCGTTCACACGTGTTTCCTCCATTTGTTTCCGGTGGCCCTTCTTCTGTTCCACAGCATCCAGGGCCACGTGGCCTTAGACACCGTGTTGGCTGATGCTTCCTCGGACTTTGCTTTTTTATTTTTAAAAATATATTTTATGGATTCTTTTTATAGAGAGAAAGGGAGAGGGAGATAAGAGTTAGAAACATCGATGAGAGAGAAACATCAATCAGCTGCCTCCTACACACCCCCTACTGGGGATGTGCCTGCAACCAAGGTACATGCCCTTGCCCGGAATCGAACCTGGGTCCCTTGAGTCCGCAGGCGGATGCTCTATTCACTGATGTTTAAATAAATCTCTCTCATCATTGATGTTTCTCTTTCCCTCTCCTTCTCTCTCTGAAATTAAGATATTTTAAAAAAAGAAAAAAAAGAAAAACAGTATCGATTGTGCGTTACTTAACCATTGACAAATAATTTTTTTTTTTTAAAGAAAAGAAATGTTTGTTGGAAGAATGGATGAATGTCCTGGGAATGAGGAAGACGACGTGGGGGCACGGAGGGCACACAGGGACTATGGGTTTTGGGAGAAGTAGCCTGGGAGGAAGGGTGTGGAGAGAGGGTAAGATCTTCGGTATCGAGGAATGAGATTTGAGGGGAAGGTTCTGGGTGGGAAAATGGAAAGATCTGGAGGCACTGGAGTGGGACAGCAAAGAGAAAACAATAAACACTTTATAAATAACCATTTAATTCAAAGGACAACCCGTGAGATAGTGACTAGAGTCTCCATTTAAAAAATATATATATGTATATTTTATTTTATTTTATTTTATTTTATTTTATTTTTTTTTACAGAGAGGAAGGGAGAGAGATAGAAACAACGATCAGCTGCCTCCTGCACCCTCCACCACACTGGGGATGTGCCCGCAACCAAGGTGCATGCCCTTGACCAGAATAGAACCTGGGACCTTTCAGTCCGCAGGCTGATGCTCTATCCACTGAGCCAAACCGGTTTCGGCAGTGTCTCCATTTTTATAGACGGGGAACCTGAGGCCGATAGAGGTAAGCCCCAGAGAATATGGCCAGTGAGGGTGATGTGATTCTCTGTCATCCTGACTCCAGTCCATCCTCTTCTTGGCCGCGGGGCCTGCATGAACAAAGGCCAGCTCTTCCTGCTGTTGTCCTGATGTGGCCGGGACGTGGGGGCCTGGGGGAGCCGGCTGCAGGGTCTCGGAGGGCGCCCTCGGACCCAGCACTCGCCTAGACCGGAGGAGGAGGCGATCGGAGGGCTGGGTGCGCCGGTGGCGTTGGTGAGGGACCCGTTTCCATGGGAACAAACGAATGCCTCGGGAGGGCGCGTGCGCAGACGGGGAGCAGGTTGTTGAACCGGCGAAAGGTGACGTCAAAGCGCACGGGGTGAGACGCAGGGCTCGGCACGTCAAAGCCCAGCGTCCTCGGCGGCCCGGGCGGCGGAGAGGCGCGCTCCCCGGCGGCGGTCACAGCACCCACATGGACCCGGGCCACAGCCGGCCCCGCTAGGCCGCGGCCGGGCGGCGGGAGCTGACGTGCGGAGCCAGCGAGCCAGCGAGGTGCGGGGGCCGCGCCGCCCCTGGGGAGACCCTCTCCCGGGAACCGCCGGCGGCGGGACCGGTCCCGGCCCCGAGGCCCCGCCTCCCGAGCCTGGCGACTAATCGGTTTGAGAGCGCGCGGGCCCGAGCCGCGAACTCTCCAATTGCGGAGGGCGGCGGACACCGCCCAATCCGGAGCAGACAGGTGCGAGGTCCGGGAGGAGGCGGCCAATCAGCGGCGGTTGCGGCCTAGCGGGGCCGGCCTCGACCAATGAGGAGGTCCGAGTGACAGCTCCGCGCGCCAATCGGGAGTGAGAGAGCGGCTGAGCCTGTCCGCCCTTCCGGCCAGGGCTCTATTTACTAGGGGCGTGAGGCCCGCCTGCCAATCAGAGCGCGGCGGAGCGGCCCGGCAGCCAACCCCGGAGGAGCGGCCGGCGACGTCCGCCGCACCGAGAGTTGGGGATGTCCTACAAGCCCATCGCCCCCGCCCCCAGCAGCACCCCGGGCTCCAGCACCCCCGGGCCCGGCACCCCGGTCCCGACAGGTGAGGACCCAGCTCCATCCTTGTTCGTCTGCCCGGGCGGACGAGGTCTCGAGAAGAAGGCGGCCCTGAGCGCAGCGGCTCCGGGCCTGTCACCTGCCCTCCCGCCGCTCAGTTGGTGTCCTGTGGAGTGGGCGTGGCCGCGGGAGGGTCTGGGGGGAGCAGGGAGAGGGGTGTGTCCCTGAAGCCGAGCCTCCTGGATCGAAGCATCCCTTTGGAAGGAACCGGGGGAGGCCGGCCGGGGGCGTGGAACGCTGGGCAGAGATGTCCCCGGCCCGCGCTGACCCCCTCCACTCGCACCTGTTCCAGCCGGAAGCGTCCCCTCGCCGTCGGGCTCGGTGCCGGGAGCTGCGGCCCCTTTCCGACCGCTGTTTAACGACTTCGGGCCGCCCTCCATGGGCTACGTGCAGGTGAGTGGGGCGGAGAGACCGCCCGTGGCCGGCAGCCCGCCCCGCGGCCGGCGCTCACTGCCCGGTTCTCTCTTGACACAGGCGATGAAGCCGCCTGGCGCCCAGGGCTCGCAGAGCACCTACACGGACTTGCTGTCGGTCATAGAGGAGATGGGCAAGGAGATCCGGCCCACCTATGCCGGCAGCAAGAGCGCCATGGAGCGCCTGAAGAGAGGTGAGTGAGGCCAGGCCCCCAACCCGGAAGGAAGGCCCTCCGGAGGCCCCCTGAGCCAGCCTAGGCGAGGGCCAGGATTGCTCCCCCTAGGTGTATTGAACGGAATTGCAAGTGAGTTGGTTTCCAGGGCAGGACCAGGGAATTGGTATTTCAACAGGATAAATGTGAGGATCTTGCCCTTCCTTAGATGCCGCTCCCTCTCGCTGGAAGGAAAGCGGGTTGGGGAGGGCGGGTCTTCTGGGGGGGCCCGTGGGGGGGGCACTGGAGGGTCGCTGAGACCCTGTATGTTACCTCCCCATCCCCACTCCCACCCCCACCCCAGGCATCATCCATGCCCGGGCCCTAGTCAGAGAGTGCCTGGCGGAGACAGAGCGGAACGCCCGCACGTAACAGGAAGCACCTCCGCCTCGAGTCTGGACCTTTCCGGCCACTGCAGGGCACCGCTTCTCCCTGGCCTCCGCCCGAGTTGCACTTGCTGTCCGGTGTCCCCTGGTGGGTTCTGTCCGGGGACCAGGGTGGCCCTCCCTCGCTGGCAGCACTGGTGCGGAACCCCTGGGATACTTAGCAGCGAGCTCACTGTGAGTCCCGCTCCCGAGCTGCCGTCAGCGCTGATCCAACCGGAGCTTTCTTCCTCCTGCACTTAACCCAGGACTGCTCTCCCCTCTCCCCAGGCCCCTCCCCCGCAGGGCTTCAGAAGGCCTGCCGCCTCCCTGCCTTGTCTCCTGGGCCATAGCCTCTTTTCTCAGTGTGTCTTTTGCTAAACATGTCCTTTTTTGTATAAATAAAAGATGATTTGGAGTTGTTCTCTCAGCTCTTTGGCTTCCTGAGTTTGGTACTTCTGCTAAGCCTGGTGGCTGGGAAGAAACGGGACAGAGAAGACCCCGAGTGGTGCAGTGGGCGGGAGAGAGGCCGGCGCGGCCTGGCTGCCCGGCCCCGTGCTGTCCATTAACCCTGGGAGGGACCCTGTTCCTGTCCGCCTGCCCTCAGCCTTCCCAGCTCTGAGTAGTGGGGAGCTGAGCTGTGGCTGAGAGCCTTGCCTTGCTTCGCAGGGTGCCACCAGGGGGCAGTGCAGGGCCTTGGCCTCCCCCACAGCTGGAGGGCAGTGTCACCAGCCTGGCCTAGAGGGTTCTACCTCTGGATTAGCAGTGAAGCCTGGGCAAGGTGGAAATGCCAGTTCACGAAGCCACGCCTTCGTGCCTAATGCCTAACAGCCTGAGCTGATCAGCCTCAGAGGCTCCGAATACTCCCATCTGTGGCTCCACCGAGTGGGGAGCGCTGCCTGCCGCCCGCACCTGGGGAGCAGAGCCAGGGGCAGGGCTGCTTCCACGTGGTGCTGCCTGCACGGTCCCAGGCCTGCGGGGCCTGGGTGTGGCTCACAAGCCCCACCCACGGGTCTCGGCCTTCGCCCAGAGCCTGGTGGCCGGTCGGCCAGACTGTGGACCCGGAAGGTATAGATGGGGCCACACGGGGGCTGGAGGCCCCTGCCTGGGTGTGTGGCTGAGTGACCCGAAGACCCGGGGCGCTGGGCTCGCACGCCCTAAGCAGGGGCCGCCGGAGGCCGCTTCTGGCCGGCCTGGGAGAGGTGATGCACCCCCGGTCTCCCGTGCGGGTGGGGGGGGGGGCCCTGGCGCAATCCCAGCGCTGCCCTGACCCGGGGGGCTGGGCGCGGGTGGGGAGGACAGCGTGTTTGGGGGTTCCAACAAGCAGAGGGAGCACAGGCACGGCGTTCGGAGACCCGCCTCCCTCGCCGCCGCCGGGAGGAAGGAAGGGGCGGCCTGGCCCGGGCGGGGCCGGACCCGGTGGGGAGCCGGCAGGAAGGGGGCGGGGCGGCCGCGGTGACGCGGCGGCGGGAGGAACCGGCGGGAGGAACGGCCGGAGGGCGGACGGGGAGAAAGGTCGGGCCATGGGCCGGCGCTGCGCCTCCCGGGGGTCCGGCCGCCGCTGGAGCCCGAGCCCGGGGCCGGGGGCGCTGGGGGCTCAGACCCGGAGCCGGATCGCCCGCGCCCGGTGAGGCGCCCGCCCCCAGAGGTGAGCGGGGCCGGGGCGCGGGGCCGGGGCGCCGGGAGGGCACCGTGGCCGCCGGCGGGGCTCCCGGGGCCGGGCGGGCTCCGGGCAGCGGCCGGGGCGCGGGGCGCGGGGCGGGTCCTGGGACCGGAGCCCGGGGACGCCGAGCGGAGCCGCAGCCGGAGGAAGCCGGCGGGCGGGATGCGGAGGGAAGTGCAGGGCTGGGTGCCCGCCTCGCCGGGGAGGCAGGTCTGGGGGCGGGGCGGCTGGTTATCTGGTCCTGAAGGAGGTCCGGGTGAGGGGAGTGGGGTGCGGGTGCGGGGAGTGGGGTGCGGGTGCGGGTGCGGGGAGTGCGGTGCGGGTGCGGGGAGTGCGGTGCGGGTGCGGGGAGTGGGGTGCGGGGAGTGGGGTGCGGGTGCGGGGTGCGGGGAGTGGGGTGCGGGGAGCCCTGACAGATGCTAAGAGGAGGGGCGCCCGGGGCTGCTCCGTGGAGATACCCCCGGGGACAGGTTCTAAGTGGCCCCAGGAGAGGGTGCGGGAGGGCGGGCCCGGGGGGAGGGCAGGCCCGGGGGAGGGCCGGGGGCTCCAGGGGCGGGTCCCCCAGGGATGCTGATCCGAGGGGCTTAGGACGCGGGGGAGGCGAGGGGGCCGCTCCGCGCGGCTCGGGGGGCGCCGTCAGCCCGCGGTTGCCATGGTGACGGGCTGGGGGGCGGGGGCCGCGCCGAAAGGAGGTCAGCGCAGCCTCAGCCTCAGCCTCAGCCTCAGCCTCAGCCCCAGTCCCAGTCGCCGCGGCTCCGGCTCCGGCTCCCCCTGCGGCTCCAGCTCCCGCTGCTCCGCCGCCGGCCGCCGGGCATGGGGTCCCGCGCCCCGCACCCCCCGGGCCGCGCGCCGGGCTGGGGACCGCGCGCCGCCGCCCCGCGCTGACGGCCGTGCCCGCGCCCTGTGCCCGGTGTCTGCCAGGCGGAGCGGGCCGCGGCCCGGAGCCTCAGGATGCTCATCAAGGAGTACCACATCCTGCTGCCCATGAGCCTGGACGAGTACCAGGTGGCCCAGCTCTACATGATCCAGGTGAGCGCGGGCGGCCGGCCGGGCTCCGGGCAGGGGTGCAGGCCGCGCCGGGGCGGGCTCAGCCCGCAGCCCCGCTCCGGCCTTGAAGGGCTGAGGCGGAGGAGGAGGGAGAGGCCCCCGCAGAGGCAGGGGAGACCGTAGGGGCTGCGGGGGAAGAGGCAGAAGGGCCTAGCGCGGCTCCCATCCCCCAAGTGCAGGCCTATGGATGATCCCTCTAATCCTCCTGAGCTCAGCGGCCGTCACCCGCGGGACAGGGGGCCAGAGTGAGAGAAAGGAGTGGAGGGGTCCCAGCGTTCGCAGGATCCCGGCGAGCCCGGGGCAGGGAGGTGGGATGAGGACGGGATGCAATGAGGCTCCAAAACTGTGAAATGCAGGCCCGTCCAGAGGGTCAGCGAGGGAGCTCGGCTGAGAGGCAGGAGCAGAGGCCGGGCCTTGGGCTGTGAGAAAAATGGGCCGGGCTGGCTCTCGGGGAGGGGAGAGGGCTGGGCCGGGCCCTCGGGAGGCCTGTCCCTGATGTGTCCCGAGGTTTAGGATCAGTCTTCAGGGGCAAGGGGCCAGCAGCCAGCCCCCGGGGTGGAGCGGGCCAAGTTTGGGCTCCAGCGCTATAAAAGGACGGGATCTGAGTGCTCTCCCACTCCGCGGGGGTGGCAGGAGCTGGTGGAGGGGTCCACAGAGGGAGGGTCCAGACGCAGGTCCTCAGGGTGGCAGGGCCCCTTTACTCCCTCAGTTCTGCAGCCCACCCCCTTCGGCCTTGGCTGCCCTGAACCCGTGCACCGAGCTCGCCAGGCCCCTCTGCCCAAGCACCTCCTCCCCCACACCCCCCAGCGCCTCCCACCCTGAACCACGTTCAGATGTCTCCCCGGGCCCTCCCCGCCCATCCATGGGCATAGCAGCCCCTATCTCAGTCCCCTCACCCTAATCTAGGCTTTCCTCTCCCGCCGCCGGCTCTGTCTCCCACTTACCATACAGTTTGCTTTTTTCCTGTGTCTGTCTGCCTCCCGAGATGAGCTCCGGGAGGGCAGGGGGCTTGATTCTGCTCCACATACCCCGGTTACCATAACCCCGAGCAAAGCTCAGTGGAGACTGACTGTGCAGACCCAGGGGAGACCCAGCTGTGAGCCCGACCAGGAGCAGCGGGGCGGGGGAGGGTCCCAGGCGAGGGCCAGCGCCCCGGGGCCCTGGGAGAGCGGGGTGCCGGCGCGGAGCCGGAGCTGAGTGCCCCCGCTCTGCTCTGCTCGGGCCACAGAAGAAGAGCCGGGAGGAGTCCAGCGGCGAGGGCAGCGGCGTGGAGATCCTGGCCAACAGGCCCTACACGGACGGGCCCGGCGGCAGCGGGCAGTACACGCACAAGGTGTACCACGTGGGCTCCCACATCCCAGGCTGGTTCCGGGCGCTGCTGCCCAAGGCCGCCCTGCAGGTGGAGGAGGAATCCTGGAACGCCTACCCCTACACCCGGACCCGGTGAGCAGGGGGCCGGGGGGCCGGCCGGGCGGCCCGCGGGGAGGCCCCGGGGCACAGGGTGACTGCTCCTCTCTGCAGGTACACCTGCCCCTTCGTGGAAAAGTTCTCCATCGAGATCGAGACCTACTACCTGCCCGACGGCGGCCAGCAGCCCAACGTCTTCAACCTGAGCGGGGCCGAGCGGCGGCAGCGCATCCTGGGTGAGGCCTGGCGCCGGCCGGGACCCGGGACCCTCTCGGGCTGCCTGACGCCTCCACGGGCAGCTCCCCACAATCCCCTGGGGCCGCGGCTGCCTGTTTCCAAAAGGGTGCCCTCCCGGCCCCGAGGTGGGGGGCCGGCGGGGCAGCGCGCTCAGGGCCCTGGAACCCCTCAGACACCATCGACATCGTGCGGGACGCCGTGGCCCCCGGGGAGTACAAGGCGGAGGAGGACCCCCGGCTGTACCGCTCCGTGAAGACGGGCCGAGGGCCGCTGGCCGATGACTGGGCCCAGAAGGCGGCGCAGACGGGGCCCCTCATGTGCGCCTACAAGCTGTGCAAGGTGGAGTTCCGGTACTGGGGCATGCAGGCCAAGATCGAGCAGTTCATCCACGACGTCGGTGAGCACAGCTGCGCGCCGGAGTCCCCCGGCCCGGCCGGCGCACGCCCAGGCCCCGCGGCACGCTCTCAGGCCGCCCGGGACACAGAGGGCGGCCGGGCGAGGGAGCGGCTCAGCCTGCGGCCGGGGCAGGAACAGCCTGGGGGCACTGTCAGAGTCAGGAGGGCAGGGAGCTGGTGACACGGTCTCGAGGCCGAAGATCCTAAACCATTCTGGGCGTCCAGTGCGGCTCAGGGACCTTCGGGAGGGTCCCCAGCCCCAGCCAGCAGCATGCTAAGTGCAGGCTCAGTCCATGGCTCTGGTGTCATCCCAGGGTTCCTCCCGCCCCAGCTCCCAGAGGCCCGTCCTCTGGCCGTGACATCCAGCAGCCTGTTCACACCACCCCACGCCCAACCCCACAGCCCCCGCAGACCCCGCTCCCAGGTCTGAGGGGGGCCAGCCTGGCCTGGATGGGGTGTCCAGGGCCTGGGTTCACATACAGACTCTCAGGGAACCCCCACCGAGCCCCTCCCATCTCTGCACCTGCACTTCCCCTCCTGTAAGAGGGAGGTCGGGCCGGGAGAGAAAAGCGGATGTTGGTCACAGCACAATGTCCGTTAGGCACACGGCGCTCCTCACGCTGAGGGCTGTGCTCCCGTCTCACAGGCGAGGACATCATTTAGCCCAGACAGGAACACAGG